ATGTGTTTCACTTGTTCTCGCTGTATCGCCGACCCGGAAACCTGTCCGCTCCTTGAAGCAGCGGCGAGCAGCGGTGAGCAGCAACGTCGCTGTGTCTCGCAGACGGCCACTGGGCTCACAGGGACGGGGGGGCAGGAGCTCCAACAAGCCGTTTAGGACAGAGAGTGAATACACATACTATGCAGAGATGCTGTATGAGAAACCAATGTGAGTTTGGAAAATTGCACAATATAAATCTACTCTAGTCGATCTCAACAATGGAATTATGATCAGTAGAAATGGCCATGACATGGGACCTTTAAGTACAACCACATTTCAAAGTTGGTCTAAACATGCTTCCTGCCAACTTAAATAACTCCCTTTTGTCCAGCTAATCTCAAGAACTTGCTGATAAAACAGTATTGAATGAAAGCTTGTGTAAAGATAGGCTGTGGGCCAAAGAACACATCACTTTTTAATGCAGAGCCATATCCTGAGACGGGACATGTCTTAACAATTCCTCTATTTTTGCATTCACTTCAGTTTTTACTCAAATAAAAAATAAATCTGGCCTACATAACTTTCACTGTGTGTATTATGATGCAGGTTAAAACCCAAATAACGATAAGATGTTTATCTTAAAAAGGTTCAAATAAACAGTGTTTCAGTTGTACTGATCTACATCAAAACATCATATTTGACATGTTCTTTATACGTTTTGTCTGTAAAAATCAAACATTTTGAAGTTAATAATAGCTGTAAAATAGTTACAATGAGTACAATATTCCCTCTGAAATGTAGTTAAGTATAATTTTGAGATGGCACAGAGGGGAAAGTACAAGTCCCTTAAAATTGGACAGTACTACAATAAATGTTATTCCCAACATTTATAACTTCAGGTGTGGCCGATGCTCACCCCTGTCTGTGGGCTGTGTGTTGGCACTGCTGATGGTGAACTGATAGAGTGCGGAGATATCGTATTCACCCACTGCACAGATCCGCCCGTTTCTCTCTATGCTGACATCCACTAGCACTGAAAAGTCTGCGTCACAAACAAAAGAAAAGTTAAGTCAACATAAGATTACTTGCTTGTACAAGCCTAAGGCCTCTAACAGCAGATCTTAAAGGTAATGTAGAGTCATCTACAGTGTAAATCCACAGAGGCTCTGGTACCTGAGGAGCTGACGTGCGTAGGAATATGCACATCTGGGCTGAGACCCAGAAAGTTGCATTTGTAGGCCTCTTCATACTGAGCACTGTATGGCACAGAGCACACACAGCCTACTGGGAGCAAAGACTGATGGGAAACAGCAGAGAGAATCACATTATAAACATGCACTCATCCACTCAGTTATTCTGTTGATATTTTTACATTGAAAAGCACAGTTTTAAATAATAATGCTAATGATCACGGAATTTAATTTAGCTGCTTCAGTTTCAGGAGATATTCATGCTGCCTCAATGTCATACAGTCGTGGTTCACTAGGGCACTCTGGCAGAACTGAATCATTGTTACCTTTATTAGTCACAACTGTGCTTTCCTACAACTCGTAATGTCTGCTGTGAACAGACATAGGAAGTAGTAGGAGACTTCCAACATTGTAACAATTTTCAAAATGATCACACATTTTTTTTTCCACAGCGGATAAGAAACACTAATCGTGTAATCAAAGCAGTTACATGTTCAGTCTCGTTTGTGTGTTTTGCATGGAGAGGTAGGCAAAGCGTGTACGGGCAAAAAAGATTTCAAGGCGTGCAATGATAGCTTCACTAATATCACTTCAGGCAGGAATTTTATATATATTTGTGAAACTAACTGAAACTTAATCCATTACTATCACTTCATATCACATCAAATATGGCGACTTAAAAGGTTATTCATCTTTTCAATTCAGCATTTTTCACTCTCACTAATTCATCTTAATAAAAAGAAACTGCAGTGTTAAATAATTGTAAGAGTTATAATTGTGTAAAACTACCAAGCATTTAACTTTTACAAGGGCTCACCTAATGGGGACCCTCAAAGGAGTTATCACTTGTCCTAATTCATATTTACCCACATCATTATGACACTAACGAGGCAGAGTGGAGTGCCGCAGCAGAGTGAACTACCTTGAGCACTGTAAAGGCAGACTGGATGAGCCCAGGGTCAGCGCCTCTCCATATGACCTGATTTCCCATGAGCACGTGCCACACTAGCTGACGAAACTCAGCAACCCCGAGGACCTGCGGAGCAAATCAAACTGTAATGTTCAACAGTTCACAGAAACCTTATGTGAACTAAAGTACAAGTTAAGCCATATGTGAACTAAAGTACAAGTTAAGCCATATGTGAACTAAAGTACAAATTAAGCCATATGTGAACTAAAGTAAAAATGAAGCCATGAAACTATACATTCTTGAAAAAACTGTTGGAAACACTCTGCCTCATCAAAAGGAGAGGAGACAATAACCTTTTCCTTTCATGTTCTTTTTCAGTTTTCTGCAGACAAAATGACACGCTGTAAAAGTACCTAAAAGTGTACCTGTCTCAAATGCCTCAGGGACCTGAATTTCGGCCCTGGTAGTTCATTTAACTTTGCATCATCGCACAGGAAGTCGAGGCCCAGCTTGCTCTCTGATTGGTGCCGCTGTGACGTAGAATCGCCTCCTTCTGCTCCCTCCCAGCAGCTCATTTCCTCCTCTTGCTCTTTTGGAAACAGAAAATGACATTAGAACATTAATAGTGATGATCAAATGTTTTCAGGGTCATTACCAAAGTGGGGAAATTCCACTGGAAATGTTGTTGGTCTGTTATATATCACACTCCTTATATAGAGTGTGATGTGCACATGACACCATTTCCGAATCAGCTCTTTACATCTCAACTGTTATCTATGACTCATTTCCTTAAGTATCCGGTGACTGAGCATGTAAACTTTAAAAAACAACAACTTAAAAAACCTATTTCTACAAATTGCCATTTTTATTTGTGTTGCTTTTATATTGGTTATAGCATTTTGGTCATTTGGTTTTTACTGTGTATTTATTCATCACTTGTTATCTGTGATTTTGATAAGTGCTTCAGACATTTAAAAAATGAATATTAAAATATTATTCTAATAGGGAAAAGGGTATTAAAATTCCACAATCAAAGGGCCACACTGGCCCCGGAAATACCTCTTTTAATCTTTTAAGCACTTTCTAAATCTTGACAAGAAATGTAGTAAACACTTTCTTTAAACGCAGTGTGTTGGACTACAATGGCTCAGTGAATAACACTGTTTTCCGGCCAGTGTCTCCGCACTAAACTGACTCAGTAAATCCCAGGAGACTGTTCAGACTGAGGATCAAACCATTGTGCAAACACATTAAATCGGCTGATAACATCCTCCAGCAAGAAGCCAAACCTTGCCTGGAAGGCAGTACATGTTGAAGCATTTCCAAGGTAACTAATCTTCCAATAATAATAATTTTAACTTCAACTTTTACCCAGTTCAGGGCATGAACAGATTGTAGTACTAGAAGTGTATTAATATTGACAAATTCCGAAACAGATTGCACATCAAAATAAATAAAAGTTTTTTTGTTTAAGTTCTTACATATCATATTCTACTAGTCAACCCTTTCGCTACGAAGTTAAGAAAGATGGGCGTGGTCTGAACTATGGGGGTAGAACAAAGGGAAGGGGCCATCACTATTTAGTATCTAGTTAAACAATGATTATATTTGCAGAATAAACTACACATTTTGTATCACTGTAAGATGTCATAATGTGACTACCTGACTGTCTCTCTATGAGCACCAGTGTGTCCTCAGTGGGCGCTCCCTCCAGCAGCTTCTCTGTCAGACGACTTCCACATGCCTTCAGCAGCCTGGAGACAATGTGAAAACACAAATCCACATCTCTAGGTGAGCCATTACAGACCACAGTCTGTTTGTCTCAGCAGGGCTGACTGGACGTTGACTCACCAGCTGAAGGAGGAGTGCAGGCTGGCCCACAGGTTGGGATGCTGGGTAAGAGAAGTTAGAGACCGGGCTGCGTTGCCACTCCTTTGGTGTGGAAACACTGCAGGGGAAAAGACACTGTTCATCCTCACCGATCGTTGGGGACACACTCCCTGTTCAATATCGAACACCTGATGGAGAGAACAGTACCAAGACATTAGGAGCCCTAATAGATTCGCACCAATAAATAACTTTAGAATTCTATTTGAGTTATCTGAATTATGCATGGTGTGTCGATGTGTGCAACCTACCTTGAGGGCTGTGCTTTGCAGGCTCTGTATAGTGAGTCTGAGGTGGCATAACAGGAAAGGCCAGGAGTTGATAAGGTAGATCCTGTCCATTGCTACCATGACAATACTGTACCAGCGCTGGAAGCCCCTGGCCAGGCTGTCTTTGATAAAGAAGGTGTGTGAAAAAACAAAACCATGTTGCTCATCTCCAAAGAAAATTGGTCCTTCACGGCCGGGACACACCTGGCGAAACAGAGAAATATAGGTAGAAGTAATTGTAAAGAGAGAAGTTTATTTAACGCATGAGATGTGTGACTCACACACACATATACATGCAGACGTACGTCACTGTTTACCTCACAGCTGAGGCTGCGTACGCAGGCCTGGCGGACAACGCTGAATAGCTGCGGCTGTCTGGGATGCTGGTGGCTCAGGAAGCGTATGCCTGTTTCATCATCAATGCTCACAAAACCCGGGTGAGATGCAGGAAGAGATCGACATCCCTATGAGCCAAGGAGAGAGGAAAATGTGTACTTTGAGATGGATTTGACAGGACTCACCAGCATACGAGAAAGTCATAGTTAAGAGTGTTTTTGTGCAGAAGACAGGTAGGGAGAAGAATGGATTGTAACAGCTTCTCTCCTCACCTCACACATTTCTCCTCTCTGTGTGGCAGAGCTGTTGGCCCTCATGGTCAGCCCTTCACCTTCCCGGTCCCCATCTCGGTCTCTGTCCCCGGGCCCCGCGGTACCTGCAAGGGATGAAGGGGATGGGGATGGAGGATGCAGTGCCTCGGTGCAAAACAACGTCCGAGGGCCATGGAGCTCACAGAAGTGACAGAGAGCAACCAGAGCATTCATCTGAAATGGACATAAGAGTTATAAAAAATGATATTGTACTATTCTGTTTGAGTAAGCATTTCAATACATAACATTGAACATTAAAATATAACTGATGTGTTAATGGACTTAAGCCAGTGGAAGAACAAACCACTCTGCACTTTGCCAATGCAATTTCCCTCTTTCTGTGTGTATGAATTGTATGTTGAACTGTGTATGGTGACTGATATTGTATATTTGCCAGTGCCAAAGACACATTTCCATAAAATGTAATGGACAATAAAATATTCTGAATCTAAATGGCATTCATAGGTTGCAATATGGTTAACACATGGTTATTACAGCTGATATCAGATGTCTTACCTTCAGCACAGCTACAAGTTCAACATTTGACTCAATGGTACTTCACGAAGGGACATTCATTGTTCACAACGTCAAAACGCGGTTATGTAAAAGGCGACATATTAAAATAGGGCTATATTAAAACATCAGATATTCACTAAGTCCGTTTTGCAAAAATCCATGATTCCCAGAGTGTCATATTAAGGTTTTGGACACTTTTCTCGTGGTGTTTTCCTCCGGTGTGCAGCTGCTGACAACAACACAGCCGGTCACATGACGCCGCAGTCACGCGCTCGAGTACAAGTGACGCATGGCAGTTGGCTCATGGATGCATAATTTGGCTGCGCGAGCTGTTTCTCAATTTTACCCGTGAAGTCGAAATGTTTCGATTATTTTTTAAAGCGATAAGAAGGCCTTTAAACAACATGTGTATGCGCAAAGATAAAAAGTTATGTAATGTATCTATAGAAGCTTTTTTTAGACGGAAAACACAAAAACTACATTTCCCATGATTCAGTGTGCGATAACAAACTCAGGGTCAAAGGGCAGTTAAAATAAGCATCGCGAGCTCCTTCGGTAAGTATGTTTAATATTTTCTTGGGGATCTTTAGAGACATGTTTATCTTGTTTGTTTATATCTGAACAAGTTTTATCTCAATGACTTGTTGAATTCAAACGGTTTCTTAAAAAAAAACGCTAGACAACCACTTCCTCATTGCCTGAGTTGTTATTTTAGAATTAGGTGTGTCCGGTTTACTTCAAGTTATTCATTGTCAGCTCAAACAAGTATAGCAGCAAACACCACAGTAACATAGCAGACCTTTTTTAAGTAACATTTCCTTTTAAATCACAGGTTTGATCATGGCATCAGACGGATTAGGAGGACCACCAGAGGAGCAGGCAGAGGAGGGGACCCTCCTGAGGGAAACACTCAGTGAGGAGGCAGGGGTTCCCCCTAACTGTGGAAAAGACACCTTAAGAGCCCCAGAAGGTAAATCCTCCTGATACACAGACACTGATTGTTGTTGTTTACTTCATTTAAGACATGACATACAGGTGAGTCACACATTAAAGAGACTGATATACCTGCTGGTAATTTACCAAACTCAGTGTGATTCTTTTTATTTGAATACTTTATTGTTGTAATTTGTGTGCAGTGGAACACAAATGTACAGGAGAACTGAACAGACATGTCATATAATGCACATTAGAGCTGATATGTTATCAGTAGTCAGCTTTGTGTTAAGGGTTACTTTTTCCAATGCAATGCATGGAAGTAAGGATCCCCTTTAAGGCCTTATAGTCTCAGTCCCTCTCCTCGTCAAAGGGAATTACCATTACTCTTGTCTTATGACATATATCTAGCACATAAACCCAGTGTAAATCTATTAGGTACATACATCACAGACACATACAAAAAAGATTTCAATGTCAAATCCATATTTATACATAATAACCAACTTTAAAGAATACAAATGTGATGATACTGGTAAACCACATCCTAGCATCAACGGTGGGGACACAATCATTAACTTTTTTGCTATAATTTACACAGTCGTATGAAATATGATTTTTAATTATTTTAAAGAAATGTATCTTTACCCATTTATCTTTAAACGTCTACCCAAATAATTATAAAATTATATTATACAAAACTCAGTATTGATTTTTATTCTGTCACTATCACTAGCCAATCGGATTGGATTGCTGGAAAATGTTAATATATGTGAAAGTGAGCAGCTAATGTTTTGTTACATATTCTCCAATCTTTTCTGAAATATAGACGGTGTCCTCATGTTCCCCAGTCTATGAAACCTTTCTGTGTTGCTGTAGGCAATTCGATTTCTGGTAAATGTGGTGTGATGTTATCATGTTGCTGAAACCCCTTACCGTCAAAGGCAGAGCTGAATGTGTTCGCTGTTCGCTGAAATGACCGAACACATTTTGATTCCATACTGGGTGACTGCTGGTTATGTGTCAGGGGTTAAGGAAGTGAGTCAAAAGAGAGCCGCAAGTATTGGCTCTGAACCGCAAATCCGGTATAAAAAAGAGATTTAGTAACAACATCTGCTTAATTACCGTGTACTACCGGGATGATACCAAATCAGACTTTCCAAGGAAATAAGTATTTCTCAAGTATTACGTTACCCAGTCACCTCCAGTCTGATTTATACACCAAGCAGTTGAAAGACTGCTCAAGTTGTTTAAGTTCTCCCATGACTTGTGAACCTGTGCCAGTGTGTGATTTCTCAGTGGGAAGACAGATATTACCGCTTATCATCAAAACATTTAATGAATGAGTCACATCCAGTTTTGGAAATAGCATTCCCGGGTGTGAGGTTTGTGTTTGAGGTTATAAGCCACTGCAGAGCAAATATTTGGCATTGCCACCTGCTATGAGCTGTCCTCTTCCAAGTGTGTTAGAGAGGAAACATAGTTTTGTGCATATCTTTTTTCCACTCCCTGTTAGAGTCTAGGGGATTAACCCCTTATTCATCGCATCGTTGTCTTATTAGACCTGCTTACGATCACCAGAAGGAATCTACTACATTTCTTTATTTTAATCTGAGTTCAGGTGTTTGGTCATTGTTTTCCCTAAACTCTGTACATTGAACATCATCATATCTACCATCTTTTTATATTACTTTGGTCAAATGTATTATGTGGATTTACTGAATATGACAGGCATTTTAATATTTAATCAGATCAATCTACAGAATTCTTTTGAGAAAAATAAATATTCATAAATCCAATTTCTTAAGCAAAGAGGTGACTAGAGGTTACTTTCCAGATACAAAAATAAATGTCCTCTATATCCGATTGTCTAAACCAAAAAGTTGTTAATCAAATAACCCCTGAAAACCTTACGATATTTATTTAACTGCTATTTTTTTTTAATCTTTTAGCCTACAATTGTTAGACCCACTGGCATGTTCATTAGTTATAGCCTCAAGTTTTAAACATGAGGTGCTGTAAACTTACTGGTTTCAAGAAAAAATAATCTGGCACACACAAACATATCTCACCGACAAAGAGGCTCATATAGGAGCAACAATAAAGAACCTTGAACCTTGAACCTTGAACAACTCAACATATATTGAACACAAAGTGCAGTAACAGATAGCTTACTTCCTGCTCTTTGTATGACTTTCACAAAATACAGTATACATATATTTGACTTATTCTACCTGCCGTCTTAAGTTTACCATCAACACTCTGATCTGAGAGCATCCCGCTGTTATATGTATTTTAATGGTTAATAGAAACTGCTTTAAACTCGCAGGGTGTCATTTCCTGTGTCCTCTCTTTTTTTTCTTAGTCAATTTATTGAGCCACTACCTGACTCTTACTCACACTGCTGCGGCCCACAAGCGGCTGAGTTAGAAATGTTTTGCGATCATGTTTGTGGAAATATTTTCTATAAATTCTTTACTCTTAACCCGAGAGAAACCCTTCAACATGCTGGTGTTATGTACAGATACTCGTTGCAAAATGTCCCGCTTACTTCCCTCTGTGGTCAGCAGAGCAAGATGAGAACAGAGTCGACGTGTGCCGGTTTTTCCTGATGGGGAAGTGTCATTTCGGCCCCAGATGTCGTTTCTCTCACAGGTTTGCTTGCTTTTCCTTCTTCAGTCAACTTACCAGCAGGATTAAGGATGACTTTTAAATGTTCTTGTTAGCTTTTCTCCACATGTACATTTATTTCTAATAACTGCAACACTAAATGGGTCGAACATGATCATAACACCAAGGTAGCTAGAATGTTAAATGATGGCTGACTGAATGTTGAAGGATAGGTTCAAATTGTATTCATTTTAAACAATAATCACAAACCCAAATGCACATGGAAAGTATAATTAATAGCTGTATTTGTTCTTTGCCCATAAGAATGGCAAAAATATCCTTCTTCAAGTTATGGAGGAATAAATCTAAAATTCTGCAACAATTTCAGAAATTAAAACATTATTTAAATCACTTGCAAAGTGGCATTTGAGTAATGACAGAGTTGAAAATAGTGTGGACCTTTCCTTTTAATGTTGCTCAACCTGGATACAGAAGATTCCTCCAAAGTTTTTATTTATTTATTTCTCCTTCCAACAAATTCATTTTTAATACATTTAACACTAACGAGGTTAACAATTGCGGTAGCTCAACTACTATAATTTCATTCATGCCTTCTAGAATACTATTCCCTTGTTACAAGTGTGTCTTTTTGAAAATTGATTGAAGTACTGTATATTGTGTTTATTTATTATTTCTATTGGTCAACCACTGCTCATATTGCTCACCAGTCTGGCACTAATACGCAGCCATGACTAAATATGGGTGCTGTTCAAAGTTCAGCAGGCTGCATGAAGGTTAATCTGTGTCAAAAGGAATTAAGACTAAGAGCATTTTTTTCTCCATCTGTCATTTCTCCCGTGTGTGTTCTGACATTTTTTCCACTCTGGTTGCTCTCTTATCTTAGTAACCCATCAGGAGATGATTCGGGGTCAGCTGACCAGGATGACAAACAGGAAGGAGAGAAGACGGAAAACCCCAAGAAGAAAGTGAACAAAACAAGAAAGCCGAAATATGAGCCAAAAGGTTACTCACACATGTCATCTGATAGTGATACTTTGTCCATATATTACTTTTTTTTATTCAAATCAAATCATACCCAGTAACCCTTCCTGTGATATGCTTTTGTTATTTATATCTTACTCTCTGCAGAGGTGAACAAAAAGCCTCGCATGCGCACGGCCGATGAGGTTATCTCTCGCATCCTGTGGGACCAGTCGGCGGATGGATCAGAATTTGTTGTTGGGTACGTGGACCGTTTCCTCGGTGTTCTGGAGCGTCCCTTCAACGACTTCAACTGGGACACAGACCCGTGCGACTGCGACTACACCGTGGAGCTGGCCCTGCCCCGACACAGGATCCAGTACTTCACCTACAGAGGGCACCGCGTCTGGGACCGCCACAGCAGGACCGACCGGGTGTTCGGCTCCACCGGCCAATCTCTGGCTCCCCCCTTTGGAGGGGTGGAGGAAGTAAAGGGCAAGGATGGACCCCACCTAACATACACCCAGATACTCACTGATATGCAGACACATTACAAAAGCCAGGACTTCTTTACAGGATTCATACTTACCAAATGTAACATTTTGTTTCCCGAGAAGTGAACACAGAGGAGCCGCCGCCTGCTGTCAGGGAGCACCTGCAGGATGAGTGTGAAACGGAGGAGGGTACTCCAACTGAGAACACTCATCAGGAGGAAGAGGAGCAAAGTGAGATGAATATTCACTGCCCTGCTGGAACAGAAGCAGCTCCAGAGTGTGGAGGAGACGCTTCTCCAGGAGAGGAGGCACCACCATGTGTTATGGAGGAGGCTGCAATGAGGTCTGATGTTCATCCTTTAAGTTAAGGGACCGTTTACAAGAGCATTTTTACAGCATGCTATCGGTCACAGTCATCAATTCAGAGCATCCTCAGCTTTCTGAAACTTTTTCATAATATATTTCTTTATAGTAGATTATAGCTTTTAAAATAATATTTGGGTTTTAGACTGTTGGTTGTACAACATTGATACATTTGAAGATTACATGTTTGGACTGAGGGAAATTGTTACAAGCTTTCATTTTATAGACAAAACTATTATTCTTAATTGGTCGATTGGATTGGTTTGCTGAGTGTGGCGTGTTTAATATGAATTTAGAAAATATGTGTTATTGTACTGTGTCCATAAGACATAACATTTTACATTATGGCAACTGTATGTCATGTGATCTTATTAGCAATGTTGCAAGATTCATCCTGCCTCTTGAGTAATATTACTCACTTGTTTTGATTTAAGCCCTGAGGCTTCGTCAGACCCATCATCCTTTTCCCATAAAGACGGAGCAGACGGACAAGAGGGGAATGAGGAAGGGGACGTTGCAGACTGGCAGGAAAGCTCGGACGGCAAAGAAGATGCTTCGGTGGGTACAGCACAATTCACCCTGAAATAAACCTTTTATGTTTTGCATTTACAGTTCAGTTCTCAGTTCAAATCTTAAATACATATTTACCCTCTTGCCTTCAGAGATCTTTATAAAACCAGATTGTTTAACAGTGAGTTTTGTGTGAAAGATAGCCGCCGTGGAATTGTCTGATTGATTTCAAATCGACTGAGACTAGATTTCATTCAGAGAGTCAACTTATTACTTTAAAAATGTCTATTTCCAGAAATCAGCACCTCTGGAGCAACGAGAGCAGAAGAACGGTGGTCGCCCCCCTAAAAAGAAGCCCACGCACTTCATCACCTTCAGGGCCAACACTCCTGCCATCCTGTCCAGCTTCAAGCAGCTGCAGGAGGAGATCACCTCCGTCCTGCCCTCCTCGGCCCCTCACTGGCAGTTGGCCAACACGCTCCACGTCACAATGTGCCTTCTGAATTTGCCCGGCCCAGCGGAGGTAGCCACCGCTGCAGAGGTCCTCAGAAAGTTTGCTCATTTCGATCGAAACCCCCCGGTGTCTCTGACCTTCCCTGTGAGGCTGAAGCACTTCAACGGGAAGGTGCTGTACCTCAGCCCCCAGCCTCAGATCCACCTCCAGCAGCTGAACAGCGGCCTGCAGGAGGCCTACAGCGAGGAGGGGCTGCTCCACAGGGACTCCTTCAACCCACGATACCACCTCACTCTGGCCAAGGTAGTGGGCAATGAGGGAGAGAGGGTGTTTGATCGGGTGTGGGACCTGAAGGTGGGGAAGGGTTTACATTTTGGCCGTCTGCCGATAAACACCCTGCACCTGTGTTCCATGGACATCTCAGAAGGAGATGATTTTTATGAGACCGTGTGCACAGTTAGTCTTCGATGATAGAACACATGCACTAAATACATGTAGGTTATTACAATGGGTGCAATACCTCTGGCCATGTGGCCTTATCGACCAAATCTCATGTCTGTGTTTTAAGGTTTTATGTTTATTCAGAAAAGATGCAGAAATTCTGGTGAAGGACTTCTTTATATAAAGGGCTAAAGGGAGTAAACAATTAATTAATGTTCAATTAAATTCATCTTTATTAAGATGCAAAAGGTATATGATGGTCCATCTACTCTTTAATAATATGATTTGAATGTATGTTTTTTACTTAATGAATGCTTAATTGTAATGCACTAAGGGCCTATGTCCCGCACATTGACTATTCATATTTCAAGATGAGAAATGAATGTAGTCTGCACAGAATAATAATACATGTTCATATAGCAAGCTGATGCAATACCCCCAGAACCGGCTGGCTGGACAGAAGGATATTACCCTAAAAACAGAGGTGCATTTATTTTACTCCATTTTTAATGTCATCATTTAGAATTGTTTCTTGTTTTGTTGGTTTTAGGTGAAACATATTTAAAGTACACTAAAATGAATAAAATTAATTGTAGCCTCTCCATTACAACGACTCGCTGCTTTAATTTCTCGGATATTATAACATTTAACATTTTAAAAAGTGCTTTTTCTATGCTGCTTAAAATACAGAGTTATTTTGAAGACATCACCTTGGACTTTAAGACATTTTGTTGGCCTTCTAAACATTAATTTAGTTTTATTTACCAACAATTAATACATAATTAAATTGAGAAAAGAACAAGATTAGTTGGCAATCACAGTAGATATTAGTTGCATTATTAGTCAAAAAGAAACACAGTATGAATGAGGTCAAACTGTTCAAACTGTTGCTGTCCTGTCGGAACCGTTTTAGTTTAGGCCCTGAAGGAGACACATGTTGTTGTTGTTGTTGTTGTTGTTGTTGTTGTTGAGTGTAAATCAGCTTTGAGACATTAAACTCACGGGACACCAGATTAGAAAACCTCCTTTTTAAAAATATAAAACGCCTAAAGTGGAATGTACATTTCCTTCTCCTCTAACTATTATCTGGTGAAACAAATAAGGCGTTTCGGGCCCGCAAACGACTACCCAGACGTTTGCATCTGCCACAACGGTTTGTCTACGAGGCATGAATTGCATACGAGGGGAAGAGATTATGTTTTCTTTACAGCTATGAATCAACCCGAGTAGTTTTACTCCGCAGCTCATAATTCCACAATCTATCTGCGTTGTATGAATATTGTATGGATGGTGTTCCCTGAGAACGATGACTTTTACAATGAATTATAACCATTAGATTGTGAAGGGCCTTAAATATTGAATTGGTTATTTTAACTCCTGAGTGGTTATGTTTTCTCAGAGCACGATGGATGGCCTGGATGCAGCGGTTCAACACAAACGCTCCCTGATCAACTCTTGCATACATAATATCATTTTCTGTCTTCTTTCACACACATACACTTTACATAGGCTATATGAGTCAGTGAGTATGCTCGACTGTTTGCTCCCTCGCTCGCATTATCTCCCTTCCCCCACTCTCTTTCAGTGACACAGAAAAACTAACGCCGCCCCCTCCCTCTTTGCTGCTCGCTTTGCCCCCCTTTCTCCAATGGCAGACAGACACCATACTCTTTTTACTCTGTGTTTGACCATTATATCTTCAATTTACATTCCCCAGGCAAACCCCCCATAGAGCATCTCCATCAGCGAGCTCTCCTCCCTTCCATCATCATCTTCTCCTCTTCCTCCTCGCCTCTAAATCAGTGTTGATGCTGTTCTGCAGCCTCCACTGAAAGCTGGTTCTGCCTAAAAATCCATTGCATGCCGCTTTCCCCCCTCTCTATTCATTGTTCACTCCATCTCTCACCCTCCCTCCTCTTTCTCTCAGCATCACTCCCTGGGAACCCACTTGTTTTCCCCTCCTCAGTATTTAATGTTGCCTGCATCTCCCCCTCCCCATATTCATCTATGTGCTTATTCGCCTCTCATACTCTGATTTGATATGCATCTCTACCTATCTCGACACATCGCTGACCTAACAGTGCTCTCATAGACAGGACTTCATTATTTTGCATCCAACATGTGAGTGGGTTTTTTAAACATCTCTTTGCACTATTATTTAGCGCACAGTAGGCTGCATTTGTACTCTTTCTCTCAGTAATCTGGTCAGGGTTCAGCGTGGTGGTCTGGACGGAGATTGGTCAGGTTGATTGGAGTGTGCATGGATGGCTGGTTGGGGGTCGGCATTATAAGTGTGCCTCAATTTGAAAGGAGTGAGGGGTTAGACCCCGCTAATCCCCGTTAACAGATTAATTATCTTTGGGCAATATCGTGTTGCTGCCGTGTTGTGAAGTCGTTCGGGCGTTAAGCTACGAAGGGCTACAATGCAACGATAAAGGGTCCCTTAGGGGTGTCTCCCTCAATCTTAATCCCTCTCTCTCTCTCTCTCTCTCTGTCTCTCTCTGTCTGTCTGTCTCTCTCACTCTCTCTCTCTCTCGCTCTCACTGAGAGCTCCTCTCTCATCCATCAACAGAGGCACCTCTCCACTGTCACCAGACAACCATCCCATTATTGGTTATTTCATATTTAAATCACTGCAAGAATTATTGGCTACATTTTTTCACAATCTTGAAATATTTTTGGCATGTCCCCAAGCTATTTTTTCAGGATGATGTTTTTTCAAGAGCATAAAGCGTTGATGGCTGGCAGTATACCTCTTTGAGTGGGTAAATATTTCACGGACGCCGGCGTAGAGAAGAGACGAGGAGGAGAGAGAAACCTCCCAACACAACCGACAAGAGGTAAGACCCTGATCTCTCTCTCCTGCAGATTATGGCTTCATTGTTGATATGGTTGCAAAGCTTTATCATCAAACAAGTGCAACTCGATTTGAATGGGCGTCAAACCACATTACAGCATTTTACTCATTTTCATCCAGGCTTATCTTTTCAAAAATGCTTAATGGATATTCATGAAACACAATATTGCCTAAATGGATTCATGCTTATCTCTTCCACTCTCACACGTAATGGATGCATCTTCTCCCATTTGCAAAATCAGATGCTGTAATGGTTTAGTTGCATCCAATTGTTTCCCACCCAGTTATAGTTCAATTTGTCTTGTATCTTCTCTGAATGCTTTTTTGTGATGTGCGAGATAATTGAATATCTTGTTCTGCGGCGGTCAGTAGTGTGGAAGCGTTTTGTCACCATCAACTTGTCATGCTGGACTCCTGCACACATCAAAGCACTGATTTGCTCTGACATGCTGGCTATGAGCTGCACTCACTTACCTTCGGTCAGCTGCACTCACTTTGAAGGTTCATTGTTGCGGAGCTGAATTTGACAGATGAATGTGAAAATGGAACTCTAATTGAGAGTATTCTTCTTTGCCTGTCGCTTCACTTCAGTAGATAAAGCTAACTTTGCTCCCTTTATGAAGATGTTAATTAATTCCTCCTGGCTAATGTAGTGTCTCATGAGACTGAAATGCTTTCACATAAATTGCAGTCATTACGGTTGTTGTTAAGAAGCAGTTAGGCGACTACTTAGGCTGTAATGTGAATCATAAAAGATTTTATGAGGCAAATTGGAGATTTCAGCAGCAAAAAGACTACATTAATTATATATATTCTGCTGGAAAGAGTTGTATCTATATAAAAAGGATGAAGGTGGAGATGAATTTCCCGTGCTGAAGATGATCCTAAATTCAGCTGACAGAGAAGCCTCAGCCCTGTTCTCATTAGCTGCTGCACAAAATGGCCCTTTTCTTTACATTTAGACATCATAGAGTCATATCACGCAAGTGGTTTCATTCTCTGTCGCCTGAGCTCCGTGCAAACTGAACGCAACACAAATATTCCCCCAATTCTTCAGGGGTTCGGACTCTCACCATCTCTCTCCACGACTCTCCCTTTTCTTTTTTTCCTCTCCACCGACTGAAGTCAAAATCACATTTATTTGGCTTCACTTATGCAATGGTAACAGGCATGATAACAAGCTGGCAGGAGACATCACGTCAACATGAGGCTTCCTATGTGTGACAACTGCTGAGTAACTGCTGCTCCACAGGACCGTGACCCCCCCCCATCAGCACCTCATTAGGGGGCCTCAATAACTTACCTGGGCTTTGACTCGATGTCTTCATACATCCCTAATTAATTAAGGGATTTCACATTGAGACAGATAAGTTAGTGCTTTATATATATATATATTTTTGTCTTAAATGGTCTGATACAGCTTCTCATACTGTATGGTGGGAAATCATAATTAGTGATCACTATTTTGACTCACTCCATTGATAGTGATAACATCAGGTACACTGATTCTCCTTTAATGGTTCTCCTACTTCATTATTATGCCTCTCAAAAAGCTTTTATCGTCTCCAAAGTCTGATAAATGCGCCTCATAGACCTGCCTCCCAGCTGCTATAATACATCTAATCTAATGAGTTCACTCTAGATAAATGATCATGAAGGAATGCATAAATATAACAGCACACAGTCTGTTTACACTGCAGATGTGCGGTGGATGGAGTTGGGGATGATTGGACTTGTGACAGTGGAACCATTAAGGTGAAGTGACTTATTGTAAAGGGTTTACAGCCGCCCTGCCTGGCCAAAAGGGAGAGCTGTTAACTTCAGCCATAAGCACCCCAAATCTGAAAGGGAAAGTGTCTGGCAGTGAATGTGACTGAATCTAAACTTTTATCACGTACAGTATTTAACTCAATTATGCTTGAATCAATAGGGATAGTAAAGAGCCTCAGCAGTGTAGAACACTGCCAAATTGAAGAAATAACAGCTGCATTCAAAGATAATAAAAAGCCTTTAATTCAGAATCTATCTGACATTATTACATCATCAAATGCACTATTGTATCTGTCATATCAGCACTGAGCTGGGCTGTATCCCCCTTTGTATTACGGCATCAGTGCTGTTGTTGTGCGCTCTGTCTTAAACACTTCTTTCTTAAACAGTAAAGCTCTGACGGTCTCTTAATCTGTGTACCCGGTATCAGAAGCCCCCCGCCCCCCCCTGCTCCGTCATCGTAATAAGATTCCAGTGTATGTTTTGACTAACCGGATTTGCCCTTTGTATTTACCCTACTTTCTCCCCATTGGCCGGCTTTAGTAAGCAACGGTTCACCATGCAGTCAAATATATCATTATTTGTATAATGGTGGAGAATACATTGTTCTTCTCCTGCATATGCTCTACTACGCATAATTCTTCAAAGGTCTCATAGATAACCTATATAGTCCAGGCTGCTCCTATAGTACATACCCCTTTTATAAGGTTAAGAGGGAAGTTTGGTAATAACAGCCATTTGTTATAAATATAGTCACGTAATCTCCCTGTGTTCAAAGCAAAACCCCTCCGGCTGCTGCTAACGATTATTATCAATTCATCTGGTATTAATTCATCGCCTGTGTTATGAAATGACAAAAATGGCCAAATCAAGATTCTAGAGCCCAAGGTTACATCTTGTTTTAGGCAGCAAATATTCACTAATAGTCCAAGACCGTCAAATGTTAAATGTAAGATGATATTAAACAAAAACAATCTCTGCAATGCTCAAAACAGCAAACACTTTACATTTCTGATTCATTAAATGAGGCAAATCACTGTAGATTATTGGCACTTGTAAAGCTTATAGATTATATTATACATTTATATTATAAACAGTATAAATGCTTGATACATTAGCTTTATGTTGCGAGGAGAAATTGAAGGTATAAAAAAAAAGAACAACTCATATACTTCAGCCTCTGCTCTGAGGGAGGTGTAAACACAGATGTACACTCCCAAGAGCATCTTTCAAGTAACCATGACTGACATTTTGACCCTCACTTTGGTCGGGTGGTCACTGCTCATACATCCTCTCCACTGAGCCCACAGGGAGGAGCACAGTGATGGAAGAAGTATTCACATCCTTAGCTTGAGTAAAGGTATCAACAGTACAGTGTAAACATACTCTGATACAACAGTAAAAGTTCTGAATTCAAAATGATGATTACAGTAAAACACATAAGTATCAGCATACAAATATATACAATATAAAGGAACAGAAAGTTAAAATACTCATCATGTAGAAGGTCCTCTTTCAAAAATGTATTTAGTACTGAATTAGTGATGCATACATCTGACATCATTTTAACGTTGCAGCTGGTAAATGTGGAGCTAATTTAAGATACCTAAATACTCCTTTAGTTATAATAATGCATCATAACATAACATTTTAATATTCTAATAATCTAAAGTAACTAGTCGTCATTAAAGGTGTCACATACATGTAGTGGATTGAAAAGTACAATATTAGCCTCCAAAAGTGTGTAGTGGACTAGAAGTATATAGTAGCAATAGAATAACTCAAGTAAAGTATTTGGGCTTGAATACTTGAGTACTTAGTTACTTTGCTGCGCTGCAGCTTCAGAGTTGCAGTGACCTTTCCGTCCTCTCCGCTCCGCAGTCCTTCACCCTCCTTTACCCTCGCTCCCTCTCCTCCGCTCTCGTTCACATCCTGGTTGCTCTTACCCGTCTTTCCTTCACTCCCGCAGGGTGGAGGAGGGGGACCGGTAGCAGTAGAAAATGGCTGCCATGGCAACGGTGCCCAGCTATACCCCTTCGCTGTGGGTGAGGATGTGTCACGCCCTCCCCCGGCTGGACCTCACCATGCAGATGAAGGACAACATCTTTGTCCCCGACAGCTGGGAGTACCAGCAGGTAACCCACACCTGCCACACCACATGCTGCACTGTAACTGCTCGATGTAAGGTGCCACGTTGCATAATCATTACAGCACTGTTTCTCCATTTGGAGTGATAACTCTACAGTTATGGTGAACTACAATTCAGTGACTGAATGATGGGCAATTAGCTCTTCGTGACACTTTAAATTGCTCCATAAATCGCTGAATGTAAAGGCAGTCAGCAGAGCAGTGATGCTGCCATTTACAGTGCTTTATATAAAGCTTTTCATGCCAACTCACTGACCTATTGGTAGGTCTATTGCACTCAACCACTCAAGGAGTCCCTTATCTCATATCTAACATTTTTCATTTTCTACCACGCTTTAGATGCTGCAATTGTCTTCTAAAGTGTCACTTGCACTTCTGCCATGGTGCAAATGTAATTCATATTTTGTTTCCGTGAGTGAAAGGGATTCAACTTGGTGTTCTCGCAGGTTCCTCCAGCTGCAATTGTCTGTTTTTATTCTAAACTGTGCAGTTTCTGCTACAAAATGAATGTTTTCATCCTCCTTCTCCTCCAACAGGCTCTTATACAAAACGTTTCTGCCAGAAGTGTCTCGCTGTGTGTGTTTGTGACTTCTCTGCAGTACAAAAAGAGGGGGGGGGCTGTATCCCTGCAGAACAGAAAGACAAAAGAGACTGAAAGTGCTCTGAGAGAGGAAACGAGAGAGGGAATGAGTAATGCGGGGAGGTTGCTGAACAGAATACCGGGCAGGGAAAGAGAGAGAGAGAGAGTGAGAGTGGGAGTGAGAGAGAGTGGCAGTGAATGTTTTTAAGTAGGTCACAGATTATTAATAGAGATTCAGTGGTGTGGATAGAAAGGAAGAGAGGGGAGAGTGTGGGGGAGAAAGTGAGTGGGAGCGTGGGGAAAGAGGGGTGGGTGGGGTGGGGAGGGGCTTCAGAGAGCAGGAGGTGAGATACAGTTGGGAGAAGGTGGAGGAATGGGCCGTGACAGACGGGCAGATGGATGGAGGATAATACTGTAGATATGTGTCAGAGCACGAAGCATTTCGGTAATGTTGACTTTATGACATAGAGCCTGATCAGAAAGTCTGATATGGCTTAGTGACATTAATATTCACTATGGTGCAGATCAGGGACTGATGTGTTAAAGCTTTTCAACTTAATGGTCAAGAATCCAAACAAATTGCAAAAACTTCCTCTGTAAAGCACACATTTTATATTCTCATTCCTTTTTAATCATCATCTGCTGCTGCTTCATGGGGGTGAGACAATATGACAAGCCATGTATTTTAACACGATTAGCTGATATTCAACCCTGTCAAATTGCACTTATAAAAAGGAAATTAAAGTGCAGTTTTTCACATTTACTGACTCATCCCTCCTCTTCCTCCTCTTCATTTTTTTTCTCAGACTCTGCTGGTTTTGTCCAGTTTGTCAGCCATCGCTCTCGTCATCTCCCTCTTGGTGGTCCTCTCCTTCCTCATACACTACTGCTGCTGTCACCGTGGCGACCGAAGCGAAGGGTCGGAGGAGGAGGAAGAGGATGAAGATGGTAGCACAGGTCACGGTTACAGCGGAAAGAAGGGGCGGGGCATCTATTGTGTCACGTGGATGGCGGTGGCTTCGGTCACGCTGTGCTGGTGAGGAAGAGGATTCATTATCAGCATTACACTTTTATTTTAAAACTAAATACATACAGGTCACGTGTTCACAGCGGAAAGAGAAGTATTCAGATATTCAAGTAAAAGTACCATTACTGTAAAAAAACTGAGCATATGAACATGTTCAGCAAAGCCAAGTATTAGTTCATACTCTTAACTAAGTACTGGGTACTTTACAGATTATGATATTAAGGGTTTATAAAATATGATACATTGCTGCAGTAGAAAAAAACAGCTGTATATATAGCAATCAATAATCTGCAACTCAACCAGTGAAATCATTCAAATGGATCTCAGAGATTAATGCATGTATGATATTATTCCCCAAAAATTAATAATAATATATAATAACACTTTTGATACCTAAAGTACACTCTTCTGATACCCCTGCGGAGATTTTTTTTTGGGGGGAATTGTAACTTCTGAATACTTATTTCACCATTTATCATTTATTTATTTATCATCAGTGCTTAAAGGTGGGGTAGGTAATTTTGGCGAAACCAGCTCGAGTGCGCTAGAATTTGAAAATACACAGCCGGGAAAAATCTGCCACTTCCTTACAGAGCCCCTCCTCCAACACACACGAACGTGCACATGACCAATGAGGGCACGAGATAAGTTTGTGCACAGATGGAAGGCTGACAGGCAGGTAGGCCATCCAGTTACTTTAGCCGGGCCGGCTAAAATGATTGGTCGTGCTTTTTACAGTACTACGGCTTCCACAGGTGACATTTTTTATGGATTTTTTGTCAAAGCACTTCAGATATTCATTGCTATCAGGATGTTAAGAGCATTCCATGGAATATAACAAAAAGTGTATCCCGAGCCGGTTTCTCAAACTTACCTACCCCACCTTTTAGCAGTATGAGGTTTTTGAGGAACTATAGTTTTCACTTCAAACCAAGAGGTCAGCTCTCTCAAACGGGACACAAAATAAATTAAAACACTTTCTGGGGACATTTTGGATTAGTTGACCTTTTTGAGCCCGAAACAATTATTTCACAGCAAATATATTTTGGGAAAAACACTAATTTGCTTTCTTTCTTTAATTGAAAGAAACAATACCACTCTATTTGCCATCAAACCTTAGCATAAAAACTGTAAACTGGGACGGCCAGCCTGTGTCGTCCTGTTTCACGTCTTTTTGCTCCGTCTTTACCTTACAGACACAAGAGTAGCATCACTTTCTTATCTACCTCTCTGCAAAAATGCCTATTAGCCTGAATTCATAACATGTCAAACTACTGCTTGTAATGAAAGCATCTAAGAGGTTTAAAGAGAAAATCACTCTTCGGTGAAATAGATAACACCTCCAAAATACAAAATACAGTTTTTTGTGCAAAGTCCCACAAAAGGGACTGGGGATCACATTAGTTTTCATATAAATGCATCGAGCGGTAAAGGCCCATATATAATCACCAGGTTGATTCGCAGTTGTCAGTCCTCCACTCTCTTTCCTTACATTTCCTGTCTCTCTCATCACTATCAATTAAGGGTAAACAAAGGAGAAACATCCAATTGAGAAATAACTACATCACATTCATATAAATGCAGTAAAATCTACCAAATGTTGGTCTGAAATGTAGTCGAACATGATACGAGTAAATGCAAGTACCTCAACATTTTATTTAATTTTAGGCTGTGAATCACAAGCTGTCCCTCTCTCCTCTGTCATGTGCTGTTTAGTCTGTCACACTCTCTCCATGTCAAAGAGGAGTGGACAGCTGATGGTCACGCTAAGTTGCTGTTGACCAACCACAGGCCTATGACCACACAGTGTGTGTTAGTTTGTGTGTGTTGCTTTCAGTGATTTCCCCATCAATGTGTGTGTGAGGATGATCTCAGCTCACCCAACTTCAGTACATTTGTCATTTACCCACCGGTGTTCCCCTCAGATCTGGTGAATGACCATGCAATCAGTGTGAGCCAGTGCACTGTCTGCATGGTGCATGTCTTATGCAGGAATGCCGCCTGACATCAGTCCACTACGTTTTTATAACACAGAAGACATTAAAGGGAAGCTCGGCTGCACATCAGACCTTTTAAATCTAAAGCTACAGTCCGAGCTGTGTGCTGTAATAAAATTATATTGCAATTTGACGCTTGAGTAGTGCTTTCTATTATATTCCAGTCTATTACCTGCACGTTTCTATGCTGCGAGAGTGTGTTGTTATATCACAGAACACAATGTACAGGGGCTGTGATTTCAGCTGTCACAGTGATGTAATATACAGATTGTAGGTCCGTGTCTGCCCCTTATGGAGCGTAATGTAATGTAGTCATCTCCTCCTCTGATGCTCTCTGCGCCAGACTGGATGAGAAAAAGAATGCCGCAGTTTACCTCTTAAAAATATTTCGCGTGACACCCTTTCCTCCAGATCGTGGCCTTTTTGTCACAAGTATAAAAAACAGTCTTGTGAAATTCAGCTGCTTTAGACAGCGTTCACATTTAGCAGCTTGAAATGCAAAGCACACACAGACGTAGACACACATTCCTCCTTTTCCTTTTCCCCCCGTGCTTTCTAATCTGGGTCACATACTTTGTGGGAGATTGGGTCATACCATTCCTCTCGGGTTTGAGGGGATTTGACGAACATCTGGACTGAGCCTTAATCTGAATATGTGAATAACAGGAAGATATGTAAACATGTCGCTATGTTTAACATTTCGAACATTTTCCCTGTGGAAGCTTAGCCGTTGAGTGCTAAGAGTCAACTTTTTTCCCTTCATCTGTTTATTCCTTCCCCTCCTCTGTTGGTATGCTCATCCAGAACTCACACATCCCATCCTCTCCAGCTCTATCTCCTTGTGTCACATTCATTTAAAATGTACATACACACTGAATTAAACATAACATGTATGCTTCTGCTATCTGTTCTCTATCCCCCTCGTTACACACACACACACACACACACACACACACACACACACACACACACACACACACACACACACACACACACTCAGTTGACATTGCAAAGATACATTAAACAATATATTGTGCAGCCCGAAACAGGGATAATTAATAACAGCTAATTACCAACATGCTTCTTGACATATACATCTGTGTTTTCTCCAGGACTACATCGACTCTTTGAAAGGTTTGTGCTATGATGGGATGGAGGGATTGCTCTACCTCTCCCTTTACTCCTTCCTCTCTGCGCTGGCCTTCACTGCCATCCTCTGCTCTCTGCCCGGCGCCTGGAGGAGCTTCCCCAGGTGAGGAGTGAGAACCATTTGTGTGGTGCATACTGTCGCTATAGGTGTTTATTCTACCATCAGTTGTTACTGTTGACATTTTCACTCATTTATACGCTTTGAATTGCCTTGCATACACATTGCCAAAAGTAGTGAAAGACTCTGGGATTAATGTACAGTAGATTAATGTTGGTTTAAAGTTTCTGCATGCTATACAATGCTACATGCTGTACAATGTTAAAAAAAAAAGAGTTAAAATGGCATGCCTAAAAAGATATACAGTAAGCTTTCTTCAAACAACTCCTAGATTAAACTTATTTCTCATTTTGCACATTCAGGAGTTTGGTAGAAGCGGCACAGGTTTGTTGGATCTGCTGAGAGCGGATTATTATTATGTCTATCCAATCAGGAATAGTGACAGAGAGAATCATGGAGGTGTGTTGAAAGACATCAGAACACATACAGCTATGAAGAGAAGAGGTAATAAGCACAGTGGTGCTCATCATCACTCACACGTATCCCTCTCTGTCTCTTTCATGGACGACCACAGTGAATCAGAGGAGTATGAAGACTCGGACAGCGAGAGTGAGGACCCCTTCACCTCCCATCAGGCACGTAGACAGACGGCCACGGGGTCTCAGCGAGGGGCCATCACCCCCTTCTATAATTACCCGGGTGCTGGGTGGACACCCCCCTTTTCTAGTGCGCCGCCCCTCCCGTGAGTAACACAGACACTCAGACACACAGACAGACAGACAGACAGAACGTCCCAGATGTTGCAGGCAGAGGTTGCTATTGGATACAGTTTACGCACCGAGTTTGTGTTTCTGTGTCGAGATCTCTACCTCTGGGCAACTTTTATACTGATACTGATCAGGGATCGCAGAGTAAAGAACACATAGTGACACTTTTGAGACATTTTTGTGCAGACACATACTCTTTTTGGTGAAGATACACAGATTTCCCCCTCAATACAGTACTTTATTCATGACACACCTAGTGTTAGACACCCATCTTTACCAGAGAATAGTGTAGTATAGTCAGCTAGGTTCACACACTCTCTCCTCTACACAGACATGTAGTCCACAGAGCTGTCAGGTTCAGCACATGCATTGCAGACAGACACACAGACAGGTCAATATGGACTCCAGGGTAGGCAGAGAAACAGACACAACTCCAGAGGTCTGTCTGTCTGTCTGTGTGTCTGTCTATCCGTCTGTCGAGTGTTTCAGGACAGACGATATAGGCCGCTCGGTTCATTTCTCACAGATCTTGTCTCAAATGGCGTCCTGTCTCCTAAACAGTAGTAGAGTACTGCTGTGTTGGGGGGAGGGTGTCATTGACGAGGCCGCGCTCGTAAAAACTCCGGCGATGTGAGGCTCAGGTTGACCATATAGGTAACCCCCCCCACCCCCACCCCACCCCCCTAAAAAAAACACCCTTCTGTCTCGCTCTCATCTGTCTCCTCACCGTGGTGTCCAAACTCTCTCAAGCTATCTCTCTGGATCTGTCCTTCGCTCTTTGTCATACCTCCTTCTCCCTTGTTGGTTCTCCCTCTCTTCTAGCTTTCCATTATTCAATTTTGTTTTCCCCTTTCTCCCTCACTGATGTTTCCAAGTTTAGTCAGAGCTCTGAGAAACCTAATCGTGGATTATATTATAACTTCCTTCTGCTAATACCAGCTGGTCATCTTGACTGCTCCCCATATCTAATATTAACACAAAGATAAACACAAGCATACTGACAAAACCAAACTGTCAAGGCTCAGAAACTCAGCTAGCACTAAACATACAGTCCACTCCTCTTAAATGACATCTGCTCGGGATTGCTTTAAAAGCTTTCTGGGGTTTATCAGGCAGATAAACAGATTCATTAGGAAAACAACATTACAGCTGAAATGGGACTGGTGAGTCACACCCAGCTCTAAATGCATGTAATTGCAGATTATTGTACAAACCCTGCAGTGCACCATCAGTCAGGAGTGGACTGTACGGCTCTCAGTAGTAATAATACCTACTAGTTTACTAAGTGCTGTGTCCTTCCGCACTATATTTCTAACCGCTCTTTCTCCTTCTTTCCTGTTACCTGTCCTTGGCTCCTGTCACCCCGCGGCCCCCTGTCCCGTCTGTCTTTCTCAATGTGTCTCACCCCTGTTTCCCTCTCTCCTTCATCCTCGGTTCCTCCTCTCCCTCTCTCCTGTCCTTTTCTCTTTCTATCTCTATACAGGACTCCAAACGTTTCCTCCAATGGCAACCCTGGCTATGAGAGCCTACCCCTGACTGACAGGCAGTCCCCACCCCCCTCTGTGAGTCCTCTGTACTTGTGACGCCATCGCAGTGCCATTTTATATCTGCTGTTAGTGCACACGCTCGCTTTATAATCAGTATCAAACGGACTAATATGGTGACCTCGCAGGACCCTGTGGGCTGGCCTTTTCTTTTTTTCGATGCTTCAAAACCCGCAAAAACATGAATTTACATTTTGTCACTGTTACTAATTTGTCTTGCATGTACTCTTATCACTATCTGGCCATTTTACAGAGCACCTTACCTTGAAAACAACAATTTAAATGAAGATAATGATGAATGTGAAATGTGCAGCTTTCAATAGCATCTCATGGTCATTCCCTGAGGAAGTCTGTATATACATAATGTATGACCACATGTTAACTCGGGACTAAACGTACGGTCTCATGACAACTTAGCTCTCTCCATGACAGGTGAACTCCATTCACATGCAAGACGTGATGCAGCTAAAAGCTTCAGGAAAGAGCTACATATAGAACAAAGTTAGAGGATCCCTCTCTAACTTTTTCCAGAGCGTTTAGTTTCATCTTACAGTGTTCCTCAGCAGATGGAGTCTGGAGTTGAATGCCCCCCATCACCCAATGAATTACTAATACATAACATGACCAAACTCTTGTGTTATAACAAATTAATTACATCCATGAGTAATGAGAAAGCTGCATGCATGTAGGGAGACTTGATGCAGCTGAAATCTGGAAAAAGCTAGTAAGTGGACTTTTTTTGTCAAAGTAATGCACATATTAAGAACTAAGGAGGGAATCAAGTGAAGCGGTATGAGCTTTACTTCTCCTTTTCTTTCTTTAAGATTTCAAATGATGCTTTGATGTATTAAAGCCTGATGGTCAGATAGTGAATAAGTCATGTCTTGCTGTCTGCTGCCTTTGAGTTAATGCTGTGTGTGAATAACAAATGTTGTTCTCTTCTCGTTTATTTTCTCTCTCCTTTGGACATCTGAACCTGTCTCCTGTTGTCTCACATCCTCTGTTCGGGGCGTGCAGTACTCTCCCAGCATGCTGACTGGTTACGGGGGAGGTCAATCACACCCCAACCCCGCCCATTCGAGGAACCTGTATTCACGTTGATTATTATTTTTTTGTTAGGAAATGTATAGAAAAAAATATGTTTAGTTTTCATATGAATGGACACTTTACTGAAATGAAAAAGAAACTAATCTAAATAAAATGAATGCTAGGTGTGAATTCAAAGTGCATAACGTCAGAACCACTGAGTATTATTATTAGAAGCACTTAAAAGAAACAGGTCCAAATGGACTGTTGATATAACCGACAATGATATACTGGTATATGGTTGTGCAAATATGAACCAAGTCCACCTGGTCTAAATTATTTCCCCTCGTCTGTCCAAACTCTGTGTAAACTGTGAACAGTGGTGAGGCAAGTCAGAATGGTATTGACGTTACTACGTTGTAGTTTTATATTCTTAAATGTATCAGTACCACCAATTTATTTTTAAGTTTTTATATAAATATTGTTGTAGAAAAGCCCTGGCACGTAGCAACAAGACACTTTTTTTTCTTCTGTGAATGGTTATGCAGTTCCCTCACTTGGTATCATGTTTTTTTATTATTACTTTTTATAGGTGGCAATTCTGTATTTTCCTTGTATTACCTAATGGTATTCTGTATATGTCACTGTCTATAATATCTGAATAATCATGAACATTTGCTCTTTAAAAAAAAATACTTGAGGGCTACCAAGAAGACCCTGTTTTAATGATTGAATGGAGAACTACAACTGCCACTAAAGAACTACAAATCCCATGCAATGATAGCAGGCACATAGCAATATGATTCTTGCTACTGGCGCTGCAGTAGCCCTACCGTAACTAGCAATAATAACTATGTATGGCATTGGGTTTCTGAGATCTCTCCAAGAGGTTTTGTGTATATATGGTCTGGTATGAGATTTCATTGAATCCCCCCTCCCTGCCAACTGACCTTGTTAACCCCTTGAATTGAGTTTGTATGGTTATCAATGCTCCTTTTGAATGGCATCCTTTTACACTCAAGAGTCTAATATAAATAAAAGATAACTTCAATAACCTTCAGCTGGTCTTCATGGTGTCTACGAGTCAATGCAATGTATGTAACAAACACAAGGCTTTACAGAGACAAGAGATTCATACTGAAAACAAGAGGTCAAAGTTTAATATAAATACGTTTCACTATAATTAACCTCTGAGCTTGGGTTTATGTGTGAGTCAGTCATACATACCAGAGACAGCGCTCCTACTATTTTGGATATGCATAGATCAATAAGAGAGATACAACACAAACGTAGAGTTTACAGTCACAGAAACAGTGTTTTTGCATGTTATTCAAAGACTAATCAAGAATAGTGTACTTTATATTCCTGCAACAGTTCCTTTCAGATTTAAAACAAGACTACCTTTCTAACATCTTTCATTAATGATACAGCTGTGTAAAACTCAACCTGAAGAGACCTTCAATCTGCACTAATTGGCAGGCAATCCTAATTAAAGTTTGGATCAGCTGCACACTTCACACAAAATTAACATCACTTTGACAAAAACAAATGGAGGGTCACAAAGTAATTGTGATGGATAACAGCTCTTAACCAAATAAAAAAATCTTTAAAAAAGGAAACACGTGTCAAAATCCCAACAATTTAGCACGCTATAAAAAGTGTCAACAAGGTTGCAGTGAATGTACCAAAACATGCAAAGACACTCGAGGCCCTTAAATGCTTCATTAGGTGGAACCATTGGAGTACCTGTGAGAACAAAGACAGGGCTAACAAATCAAAGTCAGTGCATAGAAGGTTTACAACAACAGTTGTGGGAAGAAACGGTGCGGCTTGATAACTTATACATTTGACATGACCGTCTTTTACGCACAGTACAAACTGATCTAATTTTGGCGATTAAATTGTAATAGACTACAACATTTAACCCTCTTTCAACTAGTCTCTATTGCAGATGTTTTTCCATCACACACACACTACAATCTTTCCTAACATAAACAGAGACATTTCAGTCATTATCACATCTCAAATGTCATCAAACAAACCAACCTTTGCCTCATACTTTGTAAGCTTTGATGCACCTTCCTAGTGTTCAAAATAAAGGTACCGAGAGAAGGACAACGCAGATACAGGGGTCATAAGAGCAAAAGCGTTTACATCGGCAACAATCAAAACAGTTCTTCATACCAGGAGTAACGCCCGTCACTGCTTCTCTTTGGAATTGTGTAGATATTAAATGTATTTTAGTGCATTCCCTGAAGAGTTTTCTGTAAAAAAAAGTCTGTCATCATCCCAGAGGATATCTTTTTCCATGCTATGTAAGGTTATGGCCAAGGCATCACTTCTTAGGGTTGTCCGAGTTCAGCCATGAGCCGTCCTCCTCCACTTCCCGCTGGACGACCAGCAGCATCTCTGCCACGTCCTGAGAAAGCTGTTCGCTGAGAAATGTGCTGCACAGAAACAATGACGACAACAGGGAAAAAGTTAAAACAACATGGACACAGACAGAGGGCAGAATACTGCAGCGCTCTAACACAAACAGTGAGGTAAGCCCCATGTGATCGCTCATATGGGATGACTCACATGCTGCTCTCACCCAGAACGGACTTCATATATCTGCTCTGAAGGGACATTTTGAATGTGCATTCTTACCGTAGTTCTGCCTCTCCCCCAATACAGAGAGGGCTCTTCAGTTTGGAGTCCAGGTTGTAGTACTGTCCGTTGACTTGCCGAACCGCGAGCCAGTGCCGCCGTCGGAGTGGGAGGGACACGATTCCCAGAGACACCCGGGATGGGACATTAAGAATAAAACCATGGACCTTTGACATGCATAGGCTCTGAACCGTCCTGTATTAAAAAAAAGGGAGAATGGAAGTATCAAACAAGATTTCCACCTTGAGATCTCCTTAGTTATCTATCTGTTATGTTTAGTATGTTCCATGGTGGACTGTTTCATTAATTCACCTAAACCTGGTTTAACAATTTCCCAAAATTAATGTCTAATACATAGCTGTAGATAGTTAGGAGTGGAAGCAAAAGATGAGTCAGGCCTCATATTTACAGCGCAACATGCCTTGGGGTTGCATTGCATGATGGTCTAGTATTATGGCCTACTACTTGTGCAGAAATGGGTGTTTCCATCTGTCTGTGAGACTAAAAAGATTTACAGTGGGGCAAAAAAGTATTTAGTCAGCCACCAATTGTGCAAGTTCTCCAACTTAAAAAGATGAGAGAGGCCTGTAATTTTCATCCTAGGTATACCTCAACTATGAGAGACAAAATGAGAAAAAGAAAATCCAGAAAATCACATTGTCTGATTTTTAAAGAATTTATTTGCAAATTATGGTGGAAAATAAGTATTTGGTCACCTACAAACAAACAAGATTTCTGGCTCTCACAGACCTGTAACTTGTTCTTTAAGAGCCTCCTCTGTCCTCCACTCGTTAACTGTATTAATGGCACCTGTTTGAACTCCACTATGGCCAAGACCAAAGAGCTGTCAAAGGACACCAGAAACAAAATTGTAGACCTGCACCAGGCTGGGAAGACTGAATCTGCAATAGGTAAGCAGCTTGGTGTGAAGAAATCAACTGTGGGAGCAATTATTAGAAAATGGAAGACATACAAGACCACTGATAATCTCCCTCGATCTGGGGCTCCACGCAAGATCTCACCCCGTGGGGTCAAAATGATCAAACTCAGGTCCAACATCATGACAGGCAACTGAACGGCTTGGCGCTCGGTCACGGCGGCAGCCTCACCCTCCCTGTGCTAAGGGTCTCTGTGGGCCCTACCCTGTAATTCTTATTTTGGTACCTGGAAACTGTACGTATCCGAGACTTGGCAGGACATAATTTTTTTTCCCTCTTACCTTCATAGTTTGTTCTAAAGGTGGAACTCTAGAGGAATCAATAGATAGACAATACAAATCATACAAGGTACCACCTGACAAAGTAATTAAGTGGATTTGGACCAAATTGTTAAAGGGTTTTAATTACAGATTATGTATCGACATCTATCAATCCTCACCTTCGTTTTCTACTCAGTCCGGAGTATAAATGTCGCGTTGTACGGAACCCCAACGTAACGTACTACCAGATCATAATACCGGATGATGAACACGTCTTTACCCACAAAGGTAGACAGACACTCTGATTTTTCTAAATGTCACCCCGTTTTTTCATAAATCAGTCGGTGGTTAACACGTTCAAGAGGTTGAATTTTTCTACTCTCTCCGGACATTAAAAGTAGGATCCATATGGAGTTGATACTCTCTGTTTTACTCTTTTTCTTTTAGGTCTTTTAGTGTAACAGACTAAAAATTTCTTAAATAAACGTTTAATACCACCTTTTATTCATAAACCAGTGGATGTTTGTTTGTTCTAAAGACCGAGAGTGTCTGGACATTGAACAAGAAATTCTCGGAGGAGACAGGAGGTGAGCAATTGACATAATTACCGTGGACAAACTTGAGGTGATACCGGTTCTGGTTTCTCGACAGTTTCCTGTGGTCTTTGTTTTAACATCTGGACGTGGTCCGACCCTTCTGACTTAGACGTTATCCATTCGTCGAACCACACTTCTTTAGTTGACACCCTCGTTAATAATCTTTTACCTTCTGTATGTTCTGGTGACTATTAGAGGGAGCTAGACCCCGAGGTGCGTTCTAGAGTGGGGCACCCCAGTTTTACTAGTTTCACTCTTTTTTAGGTCTTGGTGTGCCCCCCTGGATCAGTTACTGGACGTCTCTCACCCTGGTTCATTGTTCTCGATAGGTAGTATTGTGTGTTCGGCGGTCCCCGAGTTTAGGAAGTCACGGTCTGCAACAGGGGGACGATTCGGTCATGTGACAGGTCCGGGCAGACTTCAAACGATCTCTCGTATGTATGCCTAACCTTTACATACCAGTCAGTTTGGTTTTATCTTGAAAATATCCATTTTTAGTTGATCTGCACAACCTTCTCTTTCTTACGACTCAACGTTAGTTTCTTGTGGTATGGATAACACTTTGTTACCCCCACTTTGTAGTACGGAAACCCGACCAAAAAGAACGTTTCCCTGGTCCTGCTGACTTAGGCACATTTCCGTTTCTTACTTACCCCCGGGGTCATACACTCTAAAACTCACTGTTGGAGGAAGGTAGTCGTTCCCGTAACCTTTCTACTTTGCACCGACCCAGCAAAGTCATGCTGTTACTAGGTTTGTGTCCGCGGGCCCGTTGCTCCTCACCGGAAGCATTCTTCGTGAAAGTTCCAAGGACCTCAACGGATCGGTCTAGGGGTCTAGATTGGGGTATCTTTTAGAAACCTCCCTCAACTTTCAGACACAACGGGGTCGCTGTCGGGTTTTGTAGTGAACGAGATCTTCTTCTGACGTACTCCTTATCCCGTGTTTATGGTCGTTGTCACACACTTTTGGAAAACTTCTGAATGTCTTTTACAAACTGGGAGACAAGTAATGTTAGGTAGGTAGAAGAGGGCGAATAGGCACCGGCCCATAGCCCTCGCATCGTCCAGGTCGTCTCTCGGGGTTTGAAATAAAAGGGAGACCGGTGTAGTTTGGTCGAAGACTGGACCCCCTTAGGGTTCCGCGAGGGTTCGGTCGCTATCTATTCTAGGGAGGTTGGACCAGGATCCAGAAATGGGGCAACAGAGAAGGGTCGACCTGGTACGGACACTTGTGGAGGGATCCCTCCCCGGGTCCACCCTAGGATTGATCCAACGGGGTTTGGTGGAGTTGACCGAGGAAAGCTGCGCTTTCCTCCTCGCCAATTTGAGGCTCTAGGGAGGGCCTACCTGGCTTGAAGAGTGGAATAGGGATTCCCTCTGTGGTCGGTGGTTGACGCCTCTTTTGGCGTAGACCGGCGAACGTGGGCGGCTAGGAGCAAGGAAAGCCAGTTACTGGGTAGGAAGTATGGTATCCACTCCCATCCTTGCTTTTGTACCGCGCCATTCTGTCTCTCGAACCGGAAGACCGAGTCGAGGGAAAAGGCAGTGTTGCCACGCCATTTCGCTGACGTCGCATGGCCGAGGTGACGAGGCTTAAGAGGCTGGGTAGAGCCCC